CTGCTCTCTCCTAAACTGGGAAATCACCACCTCACAGGATTGCTAGCAACGGGACTGAGATGCAGGGCACATGTCAGGTGCAGGCACCATCCTCTGGCCACACTGCATGGAGAGTTGCTCCTCTCTGGACCCCTGAGTGGGCATGGCAGCGAGGGCATAGAGCAATATCTGAGGGCAATGGGACTCCCAAGATCTGGCCAGTCCCCCTTGGGAGTTTGGGACCTGGGCTTTGAAGCTCCACGTGAAATAACTGAATAACCAAGTTGAAATGAAATGAATCATTTAATTAGAATCTTCAAACTGTGGTGCTGGCCGAGTACTAAGCAGATCCAGGGGCAAACCTGAAGCTCGCCGATCTGAGCAGCAATAACGCCTCATATCCAGATACCTACTCAAGCTCGAAAATATCAAACACCTTGAAAGCTCAAAGCCTTTTCAAAACCTTGTCGCAGAGCACCTGAACCTTGTTATACAACAACCCTTAAACCAACTTTAGGACAGAAAACGTTGCAGGAAAATAGATTTTCTTTGTCCAGACAGCCCTTTTTATGTCAATAAATAGGAACCACACTTATAACAAAGAGACAGCAAGAGGGCTCAGTGGGGGAACCACAAGCTTTATTGGCTGAAAGTTCTCCTCAGGAGCCTGGTCTGCTGGGACTGGATGTTCCTGGATGGGCACCCCCGGGCCTGAGCTGGGAAAAGGGAGAAAAAAAGGAGAATTTTAGGTCCAACTGAGGGTTTCTAAAGTAAAAACCTGACAGAGTAAAGGCAAGACTGTTATTCTGAAACTGCTTTCAAATTTTACATTTGATCACTAAATATTTAGAGAACAAAATGACAATGAGATCATTCGTATTTATCCATTCAAGAGATGTTTATCAAAAGCCTACTATGTACCAGGCAGTGTTTGCTGTGTATTTCACTGGTAAAACCAGCATAAAGATTAAAAAATCAAAACCATCACTGATGACATGGCATATGACACAATCGAACTTTCATGCACAACTGACAGATGAACAGGTTTCACCTCCCACGTAATGTTTCAAAAGAAGTCCTTTCGGCCTCGGACTCACCCCAACCCCCAGATGACTTCCAATGAAATAATTCAAAGAGGCACTACCTCCAGGTTTCCTCTGGCTTTCCGAAGGATTTTGTGGGTTACGACCACTGCGGAGAGAATGAAAAATGGGATTTTCAGAAACACACATGTCCAGGAAGACAGTGTAAAAGCCAAGTTCAGGGAGAAGTTCCCCAACCGCAAATGGTCCAGATGTGGGCAACCCTGAAGCATTCAGACCAAGGAGAGATATGAAGGCCCTACCTGTCCCACCACACGCCCCAGGACCAAGAAGAAAGGGTGGGTCAGAAACTCCTCTTCAAGGCCATGGCTAGGCACAACCTCACAGCAATACCAAAAGAGAAAGTGCACTATCCCATTTTATAGAAGACAAAACTGAGGCTCTGCATGGCCTCTTGGACCCCAGGTATGTCTAGGGCTCACTTCAATGGGCCTGGGAGGATGCAGGTGGAGGATAGGGTAGAGGCCCGGTGCCTGACTAGCACCTGACAGACATTAGTTTCCTAGGCCCTCTGTGAAGGGGGTGTGCCCTGCTCCAAGCAAACCCATATGTGGAGGCCTAAGTCAAGGGTGGAGAGCAGTCTGTAACGTCAGATCTTACACATCGGTTCTTTGAGCCAGCTCCTCATGGCCTGGGAGAAAGACTGCTGGGCATTTTTCTCCTTAGTCTGCCCTTTAACTGGCAGAAGAGCCCAACATGGTTTCCCTGGGCAAGTCACATTCTACCTGAACAGAAGCGGATGGATGGGATCATTTCAGAGGTATCTGCCCACCTGGACCTTCTGAGCTGTGTAGTGGGCAGGTCCTCAGTGTATCAGAACTTACAGGGAGAGATGGGAGTGTCCAGCCTTTCAGGGGAGCAATTGTAGAAGAAGGTCATTTCCTCCCTCGATCTTTTTCTTTTCTAACATAAACTCCAGCAGTGGCTAGAATGCCACCACTGAACAGATTTCTGTCTGAGCCTGGTCAGGGATTTGTTCTAAGCAGGGCTTGGTGGGGGCCACGGACTCCAGCTCACTCTCCGGGGACAGACACAAGGCCTCTGGAACTGGATCTCTGGCCAATAGTGCCCAGGGCTGAAACAGGCTCAGCCTCCAACACACTCAGCCCAACTCCACCAACTCCCGAGTGGCTTATTCAGAACAGGTGCCATGTGGCAGCCTTCAGAAAATTATTTTTCTTGCCTCACAAAAATTCCCATCTGGAGGTGACAACGTCTGTTTGCAATCTGTGACCCTGAGAAAAGGAATGGAAAGTTTAGGCTTTGTTTTTAACTGGGCAAAATGAATTGCAGAGGCAGCCAGCCACTGTCTCTCTGTGCCCCCTTCACCCTCACCTCATGCTACAGGGCAGCAGTTCTTAACCTGGGACTGTGGATATGCTTTGGGGGCTCCTAATCCCCAGAAACTATGTACAAGTCTGTGGGTGTATACAGATGTATGCATTTTTCTGGGGAGAGAGACCATAGCTCTCGAGACCATAGCTCTCTTGAAATTCACCAAGAGGCCTGTGACCCAGAAAACATTAAGCATCACGACTGTGGAGGTTAAAAATAATTTTGAAACACACTCAACGTACCTAAAAAACAAAACTCACAGCAGAAGAGCTAAGGATCATCTGGCCCAAGTTAGAAGTGAAAAATACAACCTCTAAATTTGACAGATGGGCCTTAACATCTGAACAGCACTGCTCACGTTCCAAAGCACAGAAACTCCCATTGCTGAGGGACAGAGAGGTAAAGAACTTGTACCAAATCAAGACTTGTCCCACTGCAGGTGTGACTCAAACCAGGTCTGTATGACCAGGTCCAGGGCTCTTTCTACCTCAGCAGAGTGCTGGCAAGGAAGACACTAACCTGAGTGGTGTCTGCCTGGTGACAGGCTGCTTACCAACTGTGACCTCACCAAATTCCTCCAGCCCTATGGGGTAGGTATTACTGTTCTCATTTTGCAAATGAGGACCTGAGGCTCAGAAGTGAAGCAGGTGGTCCTGGCTCACACCATGACGCCCTTTTCTCACTATCCCCTGCAGAGTCTGAGAGGAGATACCGTGTTCAGCTTGTCCCACAAGGGACCAGCCCTCGGCCCTTACTCTTCCCAAGTAGGGAAGAGGGAGGAGGGGACACTACTCCAACTTTCACTTAGTGACTTTACAGCCAGAAACAGACCTGTGAGGCTGGTGAGCTACAAAGCCTGGCACAGGAGAGGGAGTTACAGGGCCAGGCCAGCCACCAGCTGTGTGACCTTGGGCAAGCCCCTCACCTCACTCTGAGCAAGCTGCCACTCCGTGCCAGGCCTTGTAGATGCAGAGATGGGTGACACCATTTTACACGGATGGGAAATGCTATGTTTGTTGTTTTTCTGTTAATGGTTTGCCCCCTCTACACATAGGATTCAGTCTGACCTAATGGGAAGAAGCAGAGAACTAACATTCACTGAGCATCTACTTTGTCTCAGGCACTGTACTAACTACAATACAGTTTAGGTCCCATTATCATCCCTATTTTACAGACGAGAAAACTGAGGCGTTTTTTATAAAGTCTTGACTATACAAAAGCATCACTTTCCATCCCCTTGCTGCTCCAGGAATCTAACCCAAGCATTCCACAGCTACCTCAAACATGACCAAGACTGGCACTGTCCTTCCCCAAGTCGCTCCAGTTGTGCCCCTTCTCTACAAGTGACATGAACCCCTAGGCATGTCAGAAACCCCTCAGACACCCACTGCTCTACTGGTCTACCTCTGTTGTATTTCTCAAAACCATTCTCTCCCCTCCTGGAGGACTGCTGTAGACTTGAAGAACTTTCCCTGGCCTCCTAGGTCTCTATGATCAGCCACAAAGACCCTCTAACATTCAAATGGACCAACCACTCCCTGCCCACAAGGCCCCCTATGACCTGGTCCCTCCTTACCCCCTCATATCATCTCTCACAGCTAAAGCCACGGCATGTCCCAAGCATGTCCCTGAATACTCAGTTCTCTCTCACCTCCGGGAGTGTGCCCTCTGCCAGGCTCCTGCTCCTCCTGCCTCCTTCACCATCTAACTAACTCCTATTGTCCCCTCAAGACCCAATCAGTCCAGTGTCCTGAACTGCCTTCTCAGGCTGCCTGGAATGCACTTGGCACATCATCCTCCATTAAGCTGAAGCTCTGTGCTGGCAGGAACTGTCTCGATCATCTCCGTCCTCAGAGCCTGGCATCAGGACACAGAGCAGCAACTGAGCTCTCTTCTGCAGTTCAAACTCTGCCAGGCTCACAGAGTCCATTTTCAGAAGGTTCCTAGTGGGGTGGCTAAGGAGAACTCCTACTTGACGATAATCTATGATCTGGGCTTCTCAGCTATGCCCCAGAATCGTATGACAGGCTCGCACTCCAGAGAGGAAAACGCTACAGTCAGCAGTTCTCCTGAGACAGGGAAATTGACATACGGACAACTGTGAGGTTTCACCAGGGCTATGCCAACAACAGGCACTAATATAAACCTGGCTCCTGCCTGCTTCTCTAACACCCAGGTGATTGAGGGCTGAGGGCTGAAACCAGGGAAATGGAGTTGCTCCAAACAGTCTCTGAAGCACCAAGATCAGAGTTGGGACTGACCTTACAGAAGTTATTTAACCTGAGTTTCTGTATCGGTCTTGAGAACTAGTTCTCAAATCCCTCCCCTCCTCTTGATCTCCCCGTCCTAGGTGAGGCCATCCTTCTCTCTTGCTGGATTACTGAATTGGACTCCTCCTCCTCAATGGTGGGGCAGCCCTCAGCAAGTCTTTCTCATGCAGATGTGACAAGTCAATCCTCTGCTCTAAGTGGGAGCTGCCCCACGCCTGCCACATTGGGCGTTTCACAATGCAGTCCCTGGTCCCCCAGCCCCTGCTGCCTCAACTTGCCACTTGCAGCTTTTTCTCTACCAACATGACCTGCCTTTGGTTTCTCACATACAAGACCTTACTTCCTGCCTCTATGCCTTTGTCCATGCTGCTCCCTCTGCCTGGACAGCCACTGTCCCGTCCATCTAACACCTACTCCTCCTTTCAGACTCAGCTCAGGTGTCACTTCATCCAAGAAGCCCACCTCCCAGAGTGATGCCCACCCCACTTCCTCCTCAGTGCTCCTGTGACACTCTATGCACTTTCCCATCACTGCACGTCCCATGCACCTGTCTCCTCAAACAGGTGACAGCACCTGGCATCGAGTGGCCCCTCCACATAGGTCTTCGTTAAGTGAATACATTTGTCTGTGCCAGTAGGAAAGGATGAAGTATAAAAAGAAGCCCATAAATAGGAGGCAAGATTACAAATGATGTGGGCATAAATTATGAATAGAAGCCAGAAGTGATCCAACAAGGTGGTCGCCCACCCCACCTCCACCCTGACCCCACACTTACACTGGTCAAAGATAACCTTCTCCTGATGCTTGCTCAGCTGCAAGAGCTTGGCAGTGTTTTGCAATTTCTTGTCTTGCTCAAACAGTTTTTTTTGTAATTTGGTGATCTCTGCCTTCATGTCTCCAATCTAAAAAGAAAAAGAATTAGAAAAATGAATAAAGAATTTAAAATATCAGATCACATAGGAAGAATTACATCAACATATACAAAGATGCTCAGCCTCACTAATAAGGCCATTTGAATAAAAACTAGATGCCATTTTCTATTGATCCGATTTGCCCAACTGGACAAAACCCCATGGTGGTGAGGGTGTGGGGACAGCACTTCCAGGACTGCCAGGGAACTGTTAGGGCCTAGCTAGGAGGCACCCTGCCAACAGTCTGACCCAGCAATTCTACACTTTGGCTTTTGTCCAAGGAATAATAGCACAAGCACAAGAAGATGCCTATGCACAAAGGTGTTCATGGTAGCAAAACATAAACCCGATTTGTGCTGGTACTTACATACACCAGAATGATTTTGCAGCTATTAAAAATGATGTTGTAGAGCTGTATATTTATTGACACGGAAAGATGATTATGAGTGAAAAGAGGGCCCCAAACAACTGTACATCAGGCATTCCCTATTTCAGAAACCTGAAGATATTTGTCTATATTCAGAGATGTGTATATCAAGATGTCTAGAAAACTGCGATGACATAGAGATGTCATGAAAATGTTAACAGTGATTATCCCTGGGAGATGCGGCTTGGGATATTTTACTTTTCATTTTTTAAAAGAATTATCTGCATTGTTCGCTATTTTACAGAAATTATAATTCTAGTTTAAAAAATGTTTTAATGTTCAAATTCTAAAAAGAGATTACAGAAGCCTTATTAAGAGTATGATGCATTAGGAGGGCCTGTTTGGACTGTTGAGAGAGGCGAGGAAAAGTGCAGCAGGGCAGCAGAGCCCCAACCTTCTGACACCCTCATACTGTAGACTCTCCTCACCAGTCTCCACTTGAGCAGCTCACGGGGTAAGAACATCCCCTTTCTCTCTGCAAAATATGCCAACTGATGCCCTGGCACAGGCTACTTAGTCTCTGCTACACTGAAACACTTCTGCTCCTAAGAGGTGGGATGTTGAGCTGTCAGCTTACAAAGACTCCCTTTAGTTTGTTCCCAAACTTGTTTATGACAGTTGTACTTGTAATTAAATTATGTAATTTAATTAAATATTAAGTAAACCCATGAAATATATGTATGAAAAGAGAGAACTCTTGTATGAAAACTAACATATGCTTCAGGAAAGACTTGATGTAAAGGCAAATCACTAAAAAACACATTTCTGGCAAATTAGGTGTGGGTGAGACAGCTATAAAAGATGTGGAAGGAACATAGTCTAGAAGAATCTATATTCAAATTGCTTTGCTAGTGTCTAAGTTTTCTCTTCATCTTAAAGAACCAGAAATTGGAAGTGACAGACATACATTATGGATGCAGTTTATGAAAGAAAGAAGATGAGAACTCCAATCAGCAGACCCATAGCCAAAGAAAAGGCCTTGGCCAGACATCAAAAGAACAGCAAACCAGTCTACGTTTATCTCTTTTAAGTTAAACTAAGATGTTTAAGGTATGTATCATTTTTTGATTCCCTGCTTTAGCCTACTTTTAAGACTAACCAGTGGTGTCAGGTACAAGGACTTCGACTGTATTTCCTAAACAGATCCTAATTTAAACATTAGGTTTTCTTTGATTCTCTTCTTCATGTTAAGAGCCCACGAAGACGTGGGTTCTGGTCATGGCTCCAGAGACCACACATTCTAGGACAAAGTCACTCTACATTCACAGTCTCAGTTCCACACCTGTACAGTAGGGGTGATAACCCCTGACCCATTTACCACAATGCAGTGGAGTGACACTCAAACAAGATGGTGGCTCAAGACAGCGGGGGGGATGATTCTTTCACACCCTGCCTGCTAACCCCTAGTCCTCTTTCTAAAATCAGCTCAGGCTCTGCCTCCTCTAGAAAGCCTTCCTTGAGACCCTTCCCCATCAGGAGTCTAGGTTGACTACTGCTCCTTTGGGCACCCGTGGTGCCCAGTGCTTCCCCTATCATGGCCCACTTAACGCCGGTTGTTTACTTGTTTCCCTGACCAAACGACAAGCTCCTTCAGGGCAGAGATGATTTCTTTCCTCTGATCAGCGCATCTGACACAGAGGAAGTGCTGTGAGACCATTTGCCCATTGGTGGGTTAACTTTCATCTGTGCTCTCCTAACACTCTGTACATATTCTATCCAGCATTTAACACAAGGAATTTTATTTATGTGTCTGCTTAGTTTCACTGGATTAAAACCTTCATTTTCACAGGATGAATATATGATGGTAAAAACAGCAGGGGCTCCAAAGCCCAGCTCTGTCAATTCCCAGCTGTATGATGTTGGAGCAAGTCACTTAATCTCTTAGAGCTTCAGGTTCTACTTCCAGAAAAATGGAAAAAATAATACCTAACCTTTTGAAGGTTACTGTAGGGGACAGAATGAGATGCTGGGTGTATAGCAGAGTGCCTGACACCCAACAGGTGTGCACCAGAACAAATCTTACTGAGGGCCACAGTGTCTCAAACAGAGCTGGCAGCCACTCCCCTGCCAGGAGGTGTCACACTTCTTCATCAGCATTTAATTCCAGTCTGACTTCTGGAGGTTTTTCTCCTGGTTTTCCTTTTTACAATTAAAAACCTCAAACATTTATAAAAGTAGAAAAAAAAAAATAATGAGCCCCAGGTAACCGTCCAGCTTCAGCAATTATCAACTCATGACCAATCCTGTCTCATCTATGGATCCCTGCTCACCTGCACCCCCAGATTACTTTGAAGACAGTTCTAGAAATTAATCATATCATCTATAAAATATTTCAGTATATATCTCTAGAAGAAAAAGATTCGTTCCTAAAAAATATAACCACAGTGTAATTATTGTTATCTAAAAGAAAAAAAATGACAATAATTCCTTAGTACCACCAAATATATAGTCAGTCAGTGGACACATTTCCCTGGTTGATCATAACTTTATTGTTTCAAATAACTGGTTTGTCTGATTCAGGATCCAAATAAGCTCTACACTTTACACTTGATTGATGTAAGTTCCTTAAATTTCTTTTTATCCAGTGCTTCTCAAAGCCACCTCGAGGGCTTGTAAAAACAGACTGCTGGGCCCCACTCCTAGAGCTTCTGATTCACGAGGTTTGGAGTGGAGCCTGAGAATATGCATTTCTAACAAGTTTTCAGGTAATGCTAATTCTGCTGGCCCAGACTTTGAGAACCACTGTAAATCTACAGGTGCCCCCTCCCTCTTTTTCTTCCTTTTTTTCCCTCTTCTTACTAGAATGAGAAGATGTTCCACGTTCATGCTATACATTTCCTGCCTCAGACCTAGAATCAAGCCATTTCTCCAAGGACTCCTAGTTTCTTTTACTGAGAAAAAGAAACCACAGTTTGGGTGCTAGGGGAGCTAATTGGTACTGGACTGGTCACTGTTTCTAAAGCTGTTTAAGTGGAGAGAGCTACTAAATTTTTTAAACAGAAAATGCATTATGTGGTCATACTGATACTTCCAATTCAAATTTAAGATTACAGGGTTTTTTACTAACTTCTTTGATTTTATATTTGTATCTCTCTTTTCTTACAGTGAATATCTCAGTTCCTAATGAAATTAACATAATTGGTTTAATTGCTTTACCTACAATATAGTTTCAGAATATCAGTTACAATATTACCGCTAATAATATAATCTCTGATAACAGCTTAATATTTTTAGAGTTGTTTTTGCCCACTGAGTATTTCTACTAGGAATGTATAGTCAAATTATTGTGTTTGAGGCACTGAAATATTTCCTCTTCGTATGATTATGCCTCCAATGCTTATACAGTAAGATTTGTTTCATCTTGCTATCAATTTTTAGAAACTGTATTTTTTCCCATTTTATTTTTATTTATAATTATATAAAGCACTTACAGTTTCAAAGTCAAATCTACAAAACTAGATCTATTCAGAGAAATCTAGCTTCCATCTCTATCCCCTCCATCCTCTCTCCCACTCCTATAACTAACCTATATTGTTATTATTTATCTTCCTATTTTAAAAAATTATGGTAAGCAAATACGTGTAAATACAGGCATACCTCGGAGATATTGCGGGTTCAGTTCCAGACCACTGCAATAAAGCCAGTATCACAATAAAGCAAGTCACATGAATTTTTTGGTTTCCCAGTGCATATAAAAGTTAGGCTTACACTATACTGTAGTCTATTAAGTGTGCAATAGCATTATGTCTAGAAAAACAATGCACATACCTTAATTAAAAGATACTTTATTGCTAAAAAATGCTAACCATCATCTGAGCCTTCAGCAAGTTACATTCTTTTTGCTGATGGAGGGTCTTGCCTCAATGTTGATGGCTGCTGACTCATCGGGGTGGTGGTTGCTGAAGGTTGGGGTGGTTGTGGCAATTAAAATTTGACAACAATGAAGTTTGACACATCGATTGATTTTTCCTTTCATGAAATATTTCTCTGTAGCATACAATGCCATTTGATAGCATTTTACCCACAGTAGCACTTCTTTCAAAATTGGAGCCAATCCTCTCAAACCTTGCTGCTGCTTTATCAACTAAGTTAATGTAATATTCTAAATCCTTTGTTGTCACTTCAACGATGTTCACAGCATCTTCACCCGGAGTAGATTCCATCTCTCAAGAAACCACTTTCTTCAGGTTCCACTTCTAATTCTAGTTCTCTTGCTATTTCCACCACATCTGCAGTTACTTCGTCTACTAAAGTCTTGAACCCTTCAAAGTCATCCATGAGGGCTGGAATCAACTTCCTCCAAACTCCTTTTAATGTTGATATTTTGACTTTCTCCCATGAATCACGAATGTTCTTAATGGCTTCTAGAATGGTGAATCCTTTCCAGAAGGTTTTCAATTTACTTTTCCTAGATCCATCAGAGGAATCACCATCTATGGCAGCTATAGCCTTATGAAACGTATTTCTTAAATTATACAACTTGAAAGTCGAAATTACTCCTTGATCCCTGGGCTGCAGAATGGATGTTGAGTTAGCAGGCATGAAAACAACATTAATCTTCTTGTACATTTCCATCAGAGTTCTTGGGTAACCAGGCACATTGTCAATGCAGTAATATTTTGAATGGAATCTTTTTTTTGAGCAGTAGGTCTCAACAGTGGGCTTAAATTATGCAGTAAATGCTGTAAACAGATGTGCTGTCATCCAGCTTTGTTGTTCCATTTATAGAGCACAGGCAGAGTAGATTTAGCATAATGCTTAAGGGCCAGGCCCCTAGGATTTTCAGAATGATAAATGAGCATTGGCTTCAACTTAAAATCACTAGCTGCATTAGCCCCCTAACAAGAGAGTCAGCCTGTCCTTTGAAGCTTTGAAGCCAGGCATTGACTTCTCTTCTCTAACTATGAAAGTCCTAGGTGGCATCTTCTTCCAATATAAGGTTGTTTCATCAACATTGAAAATCTGTTGTTTAGTGTAGCCATCTTCATCAATTATCTTAGCTAGATCTTCTGGATAACTTGCTGCAGCTTCTACATTAGCACTTGCTGCTTTACCTTGCACCTTTATGTTATAGAGATGGCTTCTTTCCTTAAACCTAATGAACCAACCTCTGCTAGCTTCAAACTTTTCTTCTGCAGCTTCCTCACCTCTCTTAGCCTTTATAGAATTAAAGAGAGTTAGGTCGTTGCTCTGGATTAGGCTTTGGCTTAAGGGAATGTTGTGGCTGGTTTGATCTTCTGTCCAGACCACTAAAACTTTCTCCATATTAGCAATAAGGCTGTTTCTCTCTTTCTTGTCATTTGTGTGTTCACTTTTAATTTCCTTCGGGAATTTTTCCTTTGCATTTACAACTTGGCTAACTGTTCGGTACAAGAAGCCTAGCTTTCAGCCTGTCTCAGCTGTTGACATGTCCTCCTCACTAAGCGTAATCATTTCTAGCTTTTTATTTACAGTGAGAGATGTGTGACTCTTCCTTTCACCTGAACACTTAAGAGGCCACTGTAGGGTTATTAATTGGCCTAATTCCAATATTGAAATTGGTCTCAGGGAAGAGGGAGGCCTGAGGAGAGGGAGAGAGATGGGGGACAGCTGGTCGGTGGAGCAGTCAGAACACATACAACATTTATCAATTAAGTTCGCCAACTTATGTGAGCGTGGTTTGTGGCACTCCAAAACAATTACAGAAGTAACATCAAAGATCACTGATCACCATAACAGATACAATAATAATGAAAAAAATTTAAATACTGTGAGAATTACCAAAATGTAACACAGAGACACAAAACGAGCACATGCTATTGGAACAATGGCACTGACAGACTTGCTGGATGCAGGGTTGCCACAAACCTTCAATTTGTAAAAAACGCAATATCTGCAAAGTGCAATAAAGTGAAGCACAATAAAACAAGGTACGCCTGTACTTGTACACTGCCCCCCAACTTTCTTAGATAAACTGATGGACATGATACACACTTTCTAGAGCAGTCCTATGGCTGGGTGGACTGCAGAGGATGGTGTACTAAATGCAAAAGGCAAATTAATGACATTCAGAGAAACTGCCAGGTAGTAAAAAACCATTGGGGTTGCTGGTGAAAACATAGAAATCTGCTTTACACACATTTCACACCAAGCGAAAGGCACTGTATGAAACATAGGCAGTGACAGAAAAGTGGCTAGAGGCAATTTAACACTACACAGGGGGTCTGTGTACACCAGCAACCCCAGCAAAGCATCTCTAAGGTCCTTCTTCTGGCTCTAAAACTCTATGATGCTAAAGTGAGCATAATCAATTACCCAAGAAACCCTCAGGAAAAAGAGGCAAATTGTCATGAGCACTGACCAGTCTCTGGACTAATCTGTAAGTAGTGAAGATGAATGGAAGTACACAGATAAAAAAATCAGAACTGCATCCCATGTATTTAACAAACAGATATTACTACTATGTGCTGAGGACAAAAACAGCAGGCAATGTAGGTACGGAGGGTCAATGTCCAGTTCAGACATGTTGTGCTTTAAAAATCATATGGGACAGCTGCTCATTTGGGGTATGGTAGGAAACTATTCACACATTTATTCAAAAATATGTTTTTAATACCTACCATGGGCCAGGCGGAGCCCTGGTGGTGCAGTGGTTAAGAGCTATGGCTGCAAACCAAAACGTCGGCAGTTTGAACCCACCAGCCACTCCGTGGAAACCCTATGGGGCAGTTCTACTCTGTCCTACGGGGTTGCTATGAGTCGGAATCGATTCAACAACAATGGGTTTCATTTTGTTTTCTTTTGTTTTTGGTATGGGCCAGGCGCTGTGCTTCGCATGGGGTATATAATGCTGAACAAAACAGATACGGTCCCCTCAGGGAAAACACAAGGAGACAGACATTAAACGAACAAACAACTTGCGATAAGGCTATGATGCAGAAAAACAGGATGCTGTGACTGAGGGAGCAGGGAGCGCCTTCTGACCCTGAAGTAACATTTGGCTGAGATCTGAAAGGTGAGAAGGGGGATTGGGGGCTGGGGAAGGGTGGGAGAGGCCATCATAGGCAGTCAGATGGTCTGGGTGAAAGCCTAAGAGGGAAAAGAGCGTGGTGGGTTAGAAGAATGAAAAGGCTAGTGCGGGGCTGGAGGCCAGGAAGCCCCCACCCTTCCTCCCGAACAACTCCATCTTCCACCCCATGCTGCCACCAGCTAAAAGTGGGCAACACATGGTTTTCCTATTCAAGGACTGGTTATGTACTTCCCTGAGTTTAGGGCATCCAAACTTCCTCCCCAGGATCCCAAGAGAGAACTCTAGCGCTCATTAGAATCTGCAGAGCAGAGAAGACTGCCTCACGCGCTACTTCCTTGCCATGTTTTATAGGGCTGTCGAAAGGGGTTTAGCTAAATGAGATAATGACGCAGAATGCAAATTTCCCCTCTGCCTTCCTGCTGGCCTTTGGCAAGAATTCATAGGTTAGATAAATGAGAAGGGAAATATCTCTCGGGCCCCCAAGCAAGAGTCCTAATTCTTCCTTAACCTGCATGCTCCTTCTTCCAGGGAGGTTTCTCTGATTAGCAGAGTGGGTGCTCACCTTGTCCTAATACTTCATGGACCTCGTGGACAGAACTCCTGGACAGCCTCTGCTCTGCCTGACTCCTGATTTGGAGCCTGTCATTCATAAGTAGTTAAAACGGATTTTGAACAAAGGCCCACTAAAAACTGGAACTGATAGCCTATAAAATAAAAGAATAAACTTTGGGTTCAGATACTCAAGCTTTCAAACCAGCTCTGTAATCTCCCTGAGACTCAGTTTCCTCACAACAGGATTCATCTCAACAAAGATGTGTTAGGGTTAGGAGCACGGTCAGGTCAGGGCCATGGGCCAAGCTCACAGGGATGCTGGGAGATCAGGTAAGTGCACAGGTGGAGTGGCCGGCACATGATGCCTTCCGCACCCTCTGATGCATAACCCAAACTGAGAGCACAGCTGCTGAGGGCCAGGCCTTGGGCTCGGATAGAGGAGACTAAGACACAGGCCCCCAGTGGCCTCTGGGAGCCTCTGAATCCATGTGTCACCACTTACCTGCTCACAGTGAAGGGTGCACTGGCCATCTGTGGGGAGTGAGACTCTCCAGAGAAGCTTCAATAACCTCGAGGCTTCTTCCAGGATCAGCTTGGCTGTATTCACACTGGTGACAAAACGGCTCAGAGGCGTTGAGTATGGACCCTACACAGGCCGATGAGAAGGTTGTTACATGAAGAATTGAAAAAGATTATGGACAAGTAAGCTTTAATGGGCAGCATAAATCTCCAGGCTGCAGGGCTTGTGTTTCACATGCTGAGCAAGAGCATGGTGCCAGGTGACACCAATTTATTGTTCTTAAAGACTGGTGAATTATAGATTATAGGAGAATTTTGGTGGGGATTTTAGTCTAATCAATAACCATGAAGCGTTAACTACATTTACTTCACCAAGGGAAGGGCCCTTAATAGAGCCACTCGCATGGCTCTGCAGCCCGTGCAGACTCTCTGGAAGGCAAACACCACCAATAGCAAGTGAAGCAACATAAATGTTTTTTGTTCTTTTCAGCAGTCCCCGTTAAATGTCTCTGCTTAATGAGTATATTAAGGCCTTGTAAAGTCTCTCTCATCCCTGCTGGCAGAAGCAAACTCAAATTGATGGGACGGCAGGGGCATGAGAAAGCATGTAAGATGTAAGTCAGAGAAGGGGGAATATAAAAGTTTAAAAAAAAATTACAAGATCATTTGTCTTCACAAGTAATAAAAGTAATCAAAAATAAAAGGACATAACCCTTCTCAGCTATAAATTGGCAAAAATCATTATAAATAAAAATACCTGATGAAGGTAAAAGTGCAGAGACACAGATACACTTAAGTGGAGAAGCAATCTTTTTGGAAAATCAAGCAATAGTTATCAAGAGCCCTAAAAAGTTCATACCCTTTGAGCCAGTAATTTCACTTCTAGGAATTCATCCTAAGAACTAATCTAACATGTGATCAAAGACCTATGTATATGGCTGCTGATTATAGCTTAAATGTCCAACAGGTGAAAGAGTAAATAAATAATGATCTATCCATACATTAGTTTATTTTGTAGCCATTAAAGTCAGGGAAAATGTTTACAGTAGGATGTTTACTGAAGTTGAAATATGAAATTCATTTACTTATGAGCTAGTTTTGTTAAACTCTATGAATAAACTGAAAGTATATATATCAAAATTTTAAGTGTGTTAAACTATTGGTAGTATATTTATAGATGTTTTCTTTTCTATGCTTTTTCAGTTTCTAGTTTTCATGCAGTACAGATTATATAATCAGAAAGAACAATAATCTTATTTATATTCATTAAGTCATTTAACAAATATGTACCAAGCACCTATTTAATGCCAGATCCTGTGCTAGGTAGTGAATTATGTAAAACAGACACTATCCCTGTTCTCCTGGAGCTTATTATCTAGTGGAATATAAAACATGAAATTTTTTTTTACAATATAGCAAAACAATGTAAAACAAAAAGGCAAAACAAGTGTCAGGAATCAGGAGATTCATCTGTTTTCAATAAGGGCCTGAGAAGGGGAACCAGAAAATATAGCCCATAGAAGCTCAGAGATCAGGTCCAATCTGGAGGGAAAAAGGAAATGTGACCTAAGAAGTGAATGAAAAAATATATGTCAAGCGCCTGGTGCGTGGGTTCTCAATAAAAGGGTGACTTTAAAATTAGGAGGATTCCAGTAGGGTAAGGCAAAGGAAGAGGGTAGGTAAAAGGAGCTCAGGGGTATTCCAAGCTAGAGAGAACAAGGAGAGCAAAGGCTGGAGGCAGGATGTGGTTGGCAGACATGGACAACAGCCTGATCAGAGAAGAACAACAGTCTGATCAGAGTAGAAAATAAATAGTGAGAAAGCGGAAGATGATGGTGGGGACTAGGCCGGAGCCAGACCTAGAAACTGGAGTCTGGACTCTACCCAGGGAGAAGTAATGGTTTCTGCACGGGTGAATAAGATGACAAGCACTGTCCTTCAGGAAGCAGTGTCATGAAACAGAAAGAAGGAGCCTTGGAGGAAACAGAGAACTGAGTTCAAATCTTGGCTGCTCCAAGTTATTCCACCTTGGCATCTGTAAAACAGAACTGACATCTCCTACTTCATAGGAGTCCTGAGGATAAACTATCATAGACAAATCTCCTCTGCGTGAAGAGATGGGAGCTGGCGTCAATTCTGAGGTGGATGTAGGATATTTCATATTGGCAAGGTCATTACAAATGGTATGGCTGATCATTTCCTTCATGAGGATAAGGACCTAAAGATAGCTCCATCTACCTATCTTGCTCACCACAGTGGCCCTATGGCGTGAGCACTTAGGCCTAGATGGGTCAATGGATAGGTGGCCTGGGTAGATGAATGGATGGACACATTGATGGACAGATGGATAAAAGGATAAATGGATAGGTGGATGAATGGATGAGAGAATAGACAGAGGCAGTCATTGGCATATGCAGCAAATCATAATGAAGAAATCGCAGGAACACAGGATACAGACCTCAACAAATTGCCCCCTCAAACAACAAACGGTTCAATAGTCCCGCAGATTGGACCTGACCTTGGAGATTTCATGAACTACATTTCCTGGCCCCTCTTCTCAGAGCCTTACTGAGGGCATTTGGGCTACCTGCCTCCTAGCCCCTCATCCTACTCCTTCCATTCTACTCCCCACAGTGAGAATCTCCCTCCCTCAAGTTCTGTCCGTTGGGTTACCTTTGTTCCTAGCTCTCGAACTGTGGGGCTAGAAACCTCCTGGATTTGAACGTCCATTTTAGCAAGGAGCCTCTGGCCCTGGCCAATCTGCTTGCGCAGGGCATTGTAGTCTTCGATCAGGCCCAAGACGTGGCGGCCACTCTTGCTGGCCCACAGGCGGTGGCCAGGGACCAGGCGGATCGTGGACGGGCTGCTGGTGGCTGAGCTGCCACTGTCACAGGAGAGAGAGTCCACGTCATCTCCATACAGTAGAAGGGTCTCTGAAGCTGCAAAATGAGAGGAAAGATGGCAGACAGATTTGTGCCAGCACTCTGCGTTCAAGGAGCTTATGATCCTGAAGCTAGCTGGGAGGGCTAAGAGAGGCTTTCAGACGCAAATGTCTCACTTGACACAAGCTCAGAGGGAAGCACAGGCCTGGCTCCCGGAGCTCTGTCTGTATACTACCCCACGGCAGGCTTATTCATCCCGTGGGAGAGGCTCAATTCAATTTGACCAACATTTATAGAGTGCCCACTCTGTGGAAGACCCCGACTCACACAAATGAATCAAGCTGGGTGCCGCATGCCAGTAGCCCATGGTCTGGTCAGAATACGGATACTGTATGGGAGGTGCAATAGCACAAGGATGAAGAGCCAGTGCTCAGGGGAGAAAAGAATCAATTTCTGTACAGGGAGGGAGAGATCAGGGAAGGCTTCCTAGAAGCAACAATTAAGCTGAGTTGAAGAGGTAGCAAGAATTATGGTAAATAGTAAAAGCCAGTTGTTCTTTACCTCTGGATCAAAACAGAAGAATGGATGAATAATTCAGACTGGGGATATCAGGAAAGGCATTTCACAGAGAAGTTGCATTTGGGATGAGCCTTGAGTGAGCAGTAGGATTTTCAATGGCAGAGAATGGGACAATGAGTAGTCTGGAAAAGGGGGAAGCCACACAGCAAAGTCACAGTGAGAGGAAAGTGCAGGCCCGTTTGCAGGATGGGGAGGGAGCCACCTGTGTGGCTGCATGAGGACAGAGGCGTAACGCTGGAGAGGCCCACTGGCACTGGATTGTGGAGGGTCATGAAAGCCACACTAAGATGGTCAGGCTTTGATCTAGGACAACAGGGACCCAGTGAAGTTGCTAAGGTAGGGAATGCGTACAGTGGATTAAATGGTTTAGAAGAGGAGATCACAATAATCCCAGCTAGCGACTGAGAATGTGAAACCCCAAATCCCTGCCAAATAGTCTTAAATTGGACCAGGGGCCTCCTCTTCAATTTAAAAGGTCCTGCCACACCCAACTTCACCATAGTTACTCAAAGACTTCAGCTTTGTACCTAATTTTGGTGGCACTGCCAGGGTAGAATCAAACAGATCATATGAATTCTCGTTTGCCATGGAACATCTGCTACCATCTGCAAAATGCAAAACAAGAGAAATAAAGAGAAGGAAAACAACTGTCAAAAGTTTTAGTTTCAAACCCGATTAAAAAATGGCAAAGGATATGAACAGGCACTTCACCAGAGAAGACATTCAGGCAGCTCACAAATACCTGAGGGAATGCTCAAGATCATTAGCCATTAGAGAAATGAAAATCAAAACTACAATGAGATACCATCTCACCCCATCGAGGCTAGCATTAATCCAAAAAACACAAAATAATAAATGTTGGAGAGGTGGTAGAGAGACTGGAATACTTACACACTGTTGGTGGGAATGTAAAATGGCACAACCACTTTGGAAATCGATTTGGTGCTTTCTTAAAAAGCTAGATATAGAAGTACCATACGATCTAGCAATCCCGCTCCTTGGAATATATCCTAGAGAACTAAGAGCCGTCACACAAATAGATACATGCACACTGTTCGTGATAGCAAAAAGATGGAAACAACCTAGGTGTCCATCGATGGATGAATGGATAAACAAAATATGGTATATTCACACAATGGAATACTATGCAACAATAAATAACGAGGAATCCGGGAAACATCTTACAACATGGAGGAATCTGGAAGGCATTATACTGAGTGAATTTAGTCAGTTCCAAAAGGACAAATATTATATAAGACCACTATTATAAGAAATCAAGAAAAGGTTTAAACACAGAAGAAAACATTCTTTGATGATTTTGAGGGTGGGAAGGGAGGGCGAGTGGTATTCACTAAGTAGAGAGTAGACAAGAATTACCTTAGGTGAAGGGAAGGACAGCACACACTACAGGGGAAGTCAGCACAACTGGACTAAACCAAAGCTAAGAAGTTTCCTGAATACAACCAAACACTTCCAGGGACAGAGTAGCAGGGTCAGAGGCCTGGGGTCCATGGTTTCAGGGGACATCTAGGTCAAATGGCATAACAAAGTTTTTTAAGAAAATGTTCTGCATCCCACTTCGGTGAGTGGCATCTGGGGTCTTAAAAGCTAGCGAGCGGCCATCTAAGATGCATCAATTGGTCCCAACCCACTTGGAGCAAAGGAGAATGAAGAACACCAAAGTCACAAGGAAAGTATTAGCCCAAAAGACAGAAAGGGCCACATAAACCAGAGACTTCATCAGCCTGAGACCAGAAGAATTAGGTGGTGCCCGGCTACCACCAATGACCGCCCTGACAGGGAACACAATAGAGAGTCCCTGATGGAGCAGGAGAAAAGTGGGGTGCAGAACTCAAATTCTAGTAAAAAGACCAGACTTAATGGTTTGATTGAGACCGGAGGGACCCTGGAAGACATGGTCCCCAGACTCTCTCTTAGCCCAAAACTAAAACCATTCCCAAGGCCAACTCTTCAAAGATTAGACTGGACTATGGGACATAACATACTCGTGAAGAGTGTGCTTCTTAGCTCAAGCAGATACATGAGGCTAAATGGGTAGCTCCTGTCCAGAGGTGAGATGAGAAGGCAGAGGGTCAGGAGCTGGTTGAATGGACATGGGAAACCCGGGGTGGAAAGGAGGAGTGTGCTATCACAGTATAGGAAAAGCAACTAGGGTCACATAACAATGTATGTATAGATTTTTGTATGAGAAACTAGCTTGAATTGTGAACTTCGACTTAAAGCACAACAATAAAAAAGAGTTTTAGTTTCAGACTTGTACACTAAAAACTGTAAGATATCACTGAAAGAAAGAAGGCCTAAATAAATGGAAGGGCATTCTATGCTTACGGAATAGAAGAATTAATATTATTAAGATGCCAATACTACCTAAAGCTATCTATAGGTTCAACCCAATTCTCATGAAAATTTCAAGTCTTATTTGCAGAAATGGAAATCCTCAAATTTATATGGAACTGCAAGGGGCCCTGAATAGCCAAAGCATTCTTGAAAAAGAAGGACAAAGTAGGAGGACTCACACTTCCCAATCTCAAAACATATTTTAAAGCTACAGTAATCAAAATAGTCTGGCATTAGTATAATGATAGATATATAGACCAATGGAATAGAATTGGAAGTCCAGAAATAAAATCGTATATCTATGGTCAATTGATTTTCAGCAAGTGTGCTAAGCCCATCCAATGGGGAAAGAATAGTCTCTTTAATAAATGGTGTGAGACAACTGGATTTCCAAAAACAAAAGAATGAAACTGGACCCATACCTCACACCATACATAAAAACAAACTCAAAATGGATCAAGGATCTATTTGTAAGAATTAAAACCATAAAACTTTTAGAAGAAAACATAGAAGTAATGCTTCAGGACCTAGTTTTAACAATGGATTATTAGATATGACATCGAAAGCATGAGCAACAAAACACAAAATAGATAAATTAGATTTCATCAAAATTAAAAACTTATTTATCAATGGACTTTATCAACAAAGAGACAACCTACAGATTGGGGAAAAACTTGGGGGAACCATATATCTGGATAAAGGTTTAATATCCAGAATATGTAAGAACTCCTTCAACTTAACAAAGGAGCCGTGGTGCAGCTTAACAAAGGAGCCCTTGGCTGCTAACCAAAAGGTCATTGGTTCAAACCCACGAGCAGCTCCACGGGAGAAAAGACCTGGTGATTTGCTCCTATAAAGATTTACAGCCTAGGAAACCCTATGGGGCAGTTCTACTCTATCCTATAGGGTCACTATGAGTCAGAATCAACTCAAAGGCATACAATAATACAACTTAACAACAAAAAGTCAAACAACCCAATCAAAAAATGGGCAAAGGACTTGAATAAACATTTTACCAAGTAAGAAATACAAATGGTAAACAAACACATAAAAAGATGCTCAATGTGCTTAGTCATTAGGGAAATACAAATCAAAACTACAGTGAGATATTACCTCACCCCACAAAGATGGCTATGATTAAAAAAATGGAAAATGACCGATACAGGCGAAAATGTGGAGAAACTGGGACCCTCGTCCATTGCTGGTGAGAATGTAAAATGGTACAGCCACTACGGAAAACAGTTGGCAGTTCCTCAAAAAATTAAACACAGAATTACCATATGATCCAGTAATTCCACTCGTAGGTATATACCCCAAAGAATCAAAAGCAGGAATGCAAAAGAGACCTGTACACCAATGTTCACTGCAGCACTATTCACAATAGCCAAAAGGTGGAAACAGCCTAAATGTCCATCAACCGATGGGTGGATAAACAGAACCTGGTATATACATACATGGAATATTACTCAGGCATAAAGAGAAATGAAGTCCTGATACATGTTACAACATGAACCTTGAAAGCATTATGCTAAGTGAAATGAGTCAGTCACAAAAGGACACATATTATATGATCCCACTTACATGAAATATGTAAAATAGGCAAATATATAGAGAATAAAATTTATGAGTGGTTATCAGGAGTCGGGGGGGAGGGGAAAGGGGGACTCTTTGCTGAGGGGACACTGAGCGTCTATGACAAACCGGATGCCGTCAAGTCAATTCCAACTCATAGTTTCCCTACAGGACAGGGTAAAACCAAAGGGTTTCCAAGGAGCAGTCAGTGGATTCAGACTGCCAACCTTTTTGGTTAGCAGCCATTGCATTTAATCCCTATGCCACCAGGGCTCCAAACTTCTATTAAAAACCACCAAACCAAACCTGTTGCCGTCGAGTCTGGAAATGGATAGTGGAATGGTTGAACAACGTGATGAAGGTAATTAATGCCACTGAATTGTACATGTAAAAAATGTTGAAATGGAAAACGTTTTGTTACATATGTATCTACTACAATTTTAAAAAGTGGAGGGTAGGGGAGTGGGAAGATCTTACGGGGGGAAGAAGAAGTTTTAGTTTCATTGTAGTCAGCATTTGAGTGAGAACTGAATGAGAATAAAGAAAAGCACTATACTTACACATGTTCATTTATTCAGACACACACATGCAATCATTCAAATCTTTACAGGGCTCTCTGCCAGGTCCCATGCAGGACACTGGGAATAGAGAGAGACCAGGCCCCATTCCCTTCTCCTAGAAGAGCCCTCTTGTCCAGACAAGTAAATAGTTTCATTTCAGTGTGGTCAGGGCTGAAGGAGGGACACACAGGGACTGTGGGAGCTCAGGTGGGGGGTGCTAGCCCTGACCTGACTTCCCAAAGGCTAATACCGGTACTGTATTTTAAGATCGATTGTGAGTGACCCATGGGAAGAAGGAGGGAAAGAGATGCCAGGCAGAGGAGACAGCAGGAGCAAAGGCACATTCAGGGAGAAACAAGCAGTTCACATGGCTGGGGCCAGGCTGCTAGGGAAGGCAAGCTAGAACCATGAGGACTGCAAGGAGCCACTCAAGGGCTGCAGACAGGACAATGTCAAGCTGAGATCTGTGTTTTGGGCTGGAGGGGCAAACTGGAGGCTATTGAAGTAAACCAGACCAGAGAGGAGAGTGACCCAAAGTAGGATTTGGGGGTGATGAATTTTAAACATTGTAAGGAGGTAAAATCAAAAGATGATGTACAGGATGACTAGTGTGACATTTGATAATTTAGAAAGCACTTTGACATCTGAAATCTCAATAGCTCAGTGAGCAGGATGGGATCGTGAATCAGATTTCACGGAAGAGGAGACTAAAAGAGGAAGCAATCTGCCCAATATCACCCAGCGTGTGGGTGGCAGAGGGAGGACTGTACCCAGGTCCTAGGTTCCCCCACTCTGGCGAAGCTCCCGCCCTGCACCACCAAGGGGTGGGGCTGACTGCACCACAGCCCTCCTGAGAGAACAGCTCCCTGGAGATGGCCCCGAGAGGAATCGCTTTCTGCCAAAAACACAGCAGCCTTTAGAGCAGAACTTTCAGACAGATGCACTTAAATACAGTCCCAAAAAGTCTTCTGCAAAGGGAGAAATGCTGCTGCCTATGCTGTAATTGTCATCTTGATTCAAGGAAACCGGAACTTCTCTGTGGAAGCAGCACCGTGAATTTTGAACACACTCTCCTGGATGCTTCCTGTGAGGCACACTAGGGGTGACCCCAGATGGCCTTCAAAAGCAGGTGCAGGCTGCTCAATGGTCCTCTCACCGTGGCCACTCCGGGTCTCCCTCCTAGGCACCCCCTTGCCCTGAACTGCTACCCCCGCTTCAATCTCCCCTAGCGCATCCCCTCCATCTTCTTGGTCCCATCTCCTCAGAGCCTAAAAAGGGCCAGGAACAGAGCTGTATTTAAAATGGTAATGCCCGATGCTGGTGAAGCCATGCTAAAACTGCTACCTTTGTACAGTGCTGATGCATGTATCATGTAGAAGGCAATACAACACCTGTCTAACCCCTTGGGGTTTCCCTAGAAGAAATTTATCCTAAGAAAATTGCTTAATAGCAAAAAGCTTATTAATACAAATGTTTAAACGCCTCAAATCAGAGACCACTTTAATAATCAATAATAACAGGGTAATAGTTTGGTGACTGACAATAATCTACAAACAATAATTAGGAAGCCCATGTAAAAGGGAAAACATTTATGATGTAATATTGGGCAAAAAAAAGAAAGGACACAGAATGGCCCAAAAACCAATGTGAACAATATAAATTCATGCCTGCATTTAATTAACAAATAGAAATATGCAAAGTAAGAAATGATCATTTTTAGAATAATAAAAATTCTTTTTCCACCTTTTTCATATTGTTACATCATCTTTTTGGTTAAAATTTTAAAATACTTATTAGGAAGAAACCAATAATCCAATCACTAAAAGTTCCAAAGCAGGTTCATCAGGTGCTCTTTAAGAGATGGGTTTTTTTTCCCTCAATTAAAGGATAACAGACCCAATCCAAGTAAAGATAAGTCCAAGCTTTTATATAATCCTCCTTATTTATGAGGTATGTTGATATTCCTCGCCCCACTGGACTCACACCTGCCCTGTGGGCATTAGGATGATTATTCTCTCGACAGCTGAGGTTAGGAAGAGCTGGACTTGGGGCCTGGAAAATGGTTTCTAGCTCCAGTTCTGCCACCTACTTGCTGTGCCACTTTGGGCGAATCCCTTTCCCTCTCTGGGTCTTAATTCCTTTGTCTATAAAGGAAAGAGAATGGCCTGGCTGACTGCTTTCAGCCTGACCATTAGTTGGTTTGTTTAAGGCTCTGTATGTGCAGAGGGGTGACCAGAATCTCACTCTTTCTGCTCTTTCTTCTCAGTCTCTTTCTACTACTCTACACAGTCTCTGTAGGGCTAGACATTAAAACTCGCAAGCAAACTGCAAAACAGAAATAGTTTCAAATCTACCGTGATGCTTTTTCCAGATCCTGGAAGACACTGAAAGCCAGAGAAAGAGGTTTAGATTCTCTTACAAAGGTAATAGGGAGCTAGAAAAGATTTTCAGCAGTGCAGTGATGTGGGCATAACTAAAAGGACAGGGGGGAGCAAGACCAGAGGCAACGAGGGCAGCTGGAAGCCCAAATTCCACTTGCCTGAGAATCAAGAGGCTCCAGACAGATTACACCATTTTGCCAAAGGTGACAGCTAATGAGCAGCCAGCTCCCCTGGCTGCTAGGGTGCAGTGTGTCTGCTGTCAATGGAAATACAACTCCATGGGGCGAGGGCATCACTGAGAGTCACATGTCACACACAGGCACATAGAGCTGCATTTCTAAGAAGTGAGGGGGAGGGAAGGTACAGGACCATGTTTGTCTAGCTGAAGCGGCCGCTTGGGGATGGATAGGGTTTGGACAGCCAAAGTGAGTGCTGCTTCCTGTGCCTTCTTCTCACCCTTCGCCAGCTGCTCCTCGAGCTTGCTCTGTAGGTTGCTGTTGGTTTCGATGCTCCTCTCTAACTGCACCCGCAGAGCCTGGATCTCTCTCAGGAGGCCATGCAGGTCACTGAACGGGTCCTGCCCCTTCCAGCCTTCTCCCGACGCCTCTGCTCTGGCCTCTGTGAACACATGTGAAGGAAAACCTTAACATGTCCCATGATCCAAAGGTCAGTCATCAAAGAAACTCAAGAGTGTTTTAAACCTGGCACTACCATCACCCTCCCCTTCCGGAGAACTAGGTACAATTTAAATAACAACTAGACTTTAAAAACAAAAATACTGGCAGGCTTAACTGCTGCTATTCCACAGGCTAAATAAGAGCTGGAAATTAATTTTCACTTCTGGCCATAAAAGCCTAGCAAATTGCACACCAAACCCCAAAATTATGTCTAGTAGTAATAAAATCTATTTGGGCTGGAATTATAGAATGGAAGAGGCTGATTTTAAAAGCCACAGTATATTAAAAAGGCACAACAGCAAGAATAAGAAAAGCAACTTGGGGAAAAAATGAAAGCTGCAAGATGACCCTTTTCTAGATAAACTTTCAATAGGGAGAAACCATCTGGAAAACTAGTTTTAAAAAAAACCCACCACACCTCAAAACTGATTCTGAAACATTAGAACTTAGTGTCACTCCAATCTGGTATCTCTCTCAGGATACAGAGAGAAGCAGGGCTAGCAACCATCTCCAGCATATGGTAGGTGTTCAATAAACATTTGCTGAACGAATGGCTAAAGAAACAAATACTGCCAAGAAAATTATAATAAAAGTTAGTTCCTGATAGCCTACTACGTGCCAGGTACCACACTAGTGTGTTTTAAATAAATTATTTTTCACAATAACTCTACAGAATAAACATGTTTTATAGAGGAAGAAACAGGCCCAGAGAGGTGAAGTGACCTGTTGAAGGTCACACAGCCAGGAAGCGAAGGCATCAAAATCCAGACCCCAGCTGGCCTGACTCCTGAGCTTAAATCTTTCCACGTTTCCTGCTGCTTCTTCAGAGCAAGAGTGAGCACGAAGAGTTTGCTTCAAAATATACCTACTCTAACAACTCAGAAAAGGAGGGTGAGAATGTAATTGCAAAACCCAAAGAATATAATCAATGTCACTAAATTGTACTTGTAGAAACTGTTGAATTGGTGTGTGTTTTGCTGTGTATATTCTCAACAACAACAATAAAATAAATATAATTTCGAGGAAAAAATAAATATATATACCTACTCTACCCATGGAGCCCTGGTAGCAGCGTTCAGCTGCTAACCAAAAGTCAGCAGTTTGAATTCACCAGATGCTCCTTGGAAACCCAAAGGGGCAGTTCCACTCTGTCCTATAGGGGTCACTATGAGTCAGAAGTGACTCGACGGCAATGGTTTGGTGTTTTTGGTTTACTCTACCCCTAAGGCAAACCTGGGGCTTGATGACAGCATTTCAGGAAAGAGTGCAGAGTTCCACCCTCCCACTCCTGCTGCCAGCTGACCAGGTGGGCTCACAGCCCAAAACACTGCAGTGGACCAGAGTGCCCAGTACCTCTTGGTCGCCTGTGTTCTTCATCCAGCTTCTCATATACCTTCAGCTCTACTCGAAGGGACTGGAGTAGCTTGTCATTCTGCAAGAGCAGTTGCTGCCTCAACTTCACCTCCTCCTGTGCCCTGAAAAGGCCCCATCACCATGGGGACAAGAGGTTAGCTCTGCCTTAGGATGAATTACTCAAACCACCACCCTCTCCTTGAGTAGGCCAGTTCTACCTCAGCCAGAACAGTGTAGCCAAAAGTGACAAGTGTGGATAAGAATTCTAGTCACAGCCTCTATTTCCCAAGTGCCCCATTGTGCCCCAGCCCTTTGCTTACGTTATCTAATGTAATCTTCACAGATACCCTAAAAGGTAGGTGCTAACTAATCCTCAATTCACAGAGGATATGAGGAAGAGGGCCTCAAAAAGGTCTATTTCTTACCCAGGGCTGCATGGATCGAAAGAGGATCTAGGACTTAAATCCAGGACTGACTGCAAAGACAATGATCTTGCTAAATCCCTGCGCTACCCTGGATAGCCAAGGGTGAGGCCAGTAACATTAAAAAAGTAAGGTATTCATGAGAACAACTGAAAACACACAGAACAAGACAGATTCCAAGGGGAAAACTACAAAGGAGAAATAGTATGATCTTTTCACACCTAAGTCAGGTTCACATCACTCCTCTGCGGACAAACTCCCAGTGGCTTCCTAGTTCACTCAGAATAGCAGCCAAAGTCCTGATGAAGGCTACAAGGTCCCATGTGACTCAGCGTTCAGCCACATCTCTGCCTCATCCCCTCCCACGTCCCCGTCTCCTCCAGATGTACTGGCCTCCCAGCTCTGCCGACACAGGCCAAAGACACTCTGCCTTGGGGCCACAGTCCCTTCTGCTGAAAATGACCTTCCCCCAGATATCTGCAAGGTTCACTCTCTCACTGATTTCAGGTCTCTGCTGAAATGGCATCTTTTCAGAGACGTCTTTCCTCATCTGCCCTAGATTAAAAAAACAGAAAGTTGCCCCCCAGGCCCTATCCCCCTTACTTACATTATTTGTCTCCATCCAGTTTATCACCAGAAGGAGCCCTGGTGGCACAATGGTTAAGCACTTGGCTGCTAACCAAAAGGTTGGCAGTTCGAACCCACCAGCCGCTCCACAGGAGAAAGATGTAATAGTCTGCTTCCATAAAGATTTATAGCCTTGGAAACCCTGTGGGGCAGTTGTACTCTGTCCTATCAGGTCACTACAAGTCAAAATCGACTGAACAATAAGCGGTTTGGTTTTTCAGTTGATCATCACCTGACGTATTATGTTCCTGTTGGTTATCTGTCCCTTGTGCTAGGGCAAGTATGTTTTGTTTCATGACTGCAGCCTCGGTGCCTGGATGAGTGGGCTGGCCAGCAGGCAATGGGTGAGTCAAGGCCACTACCTGCTCAGCTCCTTGCGTCTGTCGTAGATCTCCTGGACCAGCTGCTGGTTGTGTCTCTCTTTCTCACTGACTTCCTTCTGCAGCCTTTCATTTTCTCCCTTCACAGAGGAATACTTTTGCTGAAGGTTCTCAAGGTTCGCAATCTTCCTGGAGAGGGACTCTCGCAATCTTTCATTCTCCTTCTGTTTATCTGCAAAACAAAAAATGCACCACTGAGAAGGGAAACCATTTGTTTTTTCCAACCTTATTACGCAAATATAGCACTTCAGCTCGAGCACTCCAAGAATGCAAAAGAGAATGAGCTTTAATCTGGCATTTATGATTCTGGCATTCCAATCATCTTATGCATTTTGGCCAGATAAATCTGTCAACATCAAGGCTGTAGATTAAACATCACTTGGATGAAATGGGCCTGTTTAATTTCCTGTTAAATAATGGGCCATGCAAACCTAGTTACTTTGCGTTCACAGAGCAAACAGTGGGTATAAACAACAGGCAGACGCAAGGAACAGGACCCAAAGCTCTGGCAATGGGTGGCGGGAAAGTCTGCAAGCCTCACCCAAAGACAGCAGTAGGGCTGTGCGAATGACAATCTGATGTCCTGTCCCACCTCTAACCCTAGGCATTTGTCTGCTCTCTTCCTTCTATTTAAAAGGCCCTGGCTCCTCTGAACCTCAGGCACATTGGCTAATCCCTACTCATCCTTCGAGACTCAGGCCAGACTAGCCTCTCCTGGGTCAGGATGCCTTCTCCACGGCCCGGCAGCTCCCCGAGCCTGCCTGTATTGTGGTTAATCATCACGTGACCTGCCGGGGGTCACCATGAGCCCCCTGAGTAAAGGGCCAGGTCTTACTCACTTCTGTATTAGAGTCTATACAGGACCTGACATAAAACAAGAGCCAGGAAATGTTTGCTGAGTGAATGAATAATTTGCAGAAGCCCCCTAAACATGAGTTTCTTACCTGTAAAATAGGACTAATAATACCTTGTCCCAGAAACATTTTACGTATTGAGAGATAATATAAATGAAAGCTCTCTGACGGCTTCTAAGCTTCAAATAGAAGGAATTAAGGGAAGGAATCTTTATAAGAAATACTAGAAAAACTTTGCTGATGGTATGAAATTTCTGGTTGAGACCTTGGCAGTAATACATTCCCTGCCCCCTTTCTTCCACTGGGAACCAAGATGAATGAGATGTGGTTGTACAGAGGGGGTGGGAGACAAGTAAAGAAAGTAATGTTTATGGAGCTCCTATTGTGTTACAGTCACCATGCTGAGTGTTTTATCTCATTTAATTGTCACAGCAACCCTGTGCGATATTCCTAGTTTACAGATAAGGTAACTGAGGCTCAGAGAGGCTAAATGACCTGCCCAAAGTCACAGGATTTGAACCTAGGTCGGTCAGACCCCAAGGCCTGCACTCTCTCCACTATGCCACGACACAGAAGCTTTGGGGCTCCAGGGTACAGGTGGCTGCCTTGATTCTTACCTCTGGATCCTTTAGCAAGCATCATATTGAGGGCCTGGTTCTGCTTCCTCAGGAAATGAATTTCTGATGTCAGAGAATTATGTAGCTCTGAACCATAAGCAAAAATGTTTGCAGAACCTATAAAAACACACATAAACAGTGATTTATGGAGTCTCCAGCTCAGTACAGGTGGAACTTTTTAGATAAAAACAGTTTTAAATAATGAGGAAACATAGCGTGCAATGAAGGTTACTCCTGTGAACCGAAGTGCTACCAGACCCAAATGGATATGAGTGAGCTTGAAAGAGGAGGCCCCCACCTCTTACCTCTCCTAACCGTGAGCAAAGCAGGAAACCTCGGCGAGAGGGAGGGGGTGACAGTTTAACCTCCACAGATGTCTCCCCAGAGGTCTAAACTCATATATCCAGCTGCCTGCTAGACTTCTTCGCTGAGGCAACTCACAGTCGACAGAGCCAAAGCTGAACTCTTCACCTTTCCCTCTTCCTTCTAAAGCTGCTCCCTCTCCTCTGTTTCCCACCTCAATAGATGGTATCACCACTATTCCTAACTAAGCTAGAAACTTGAGAACCATCTTAAACTCCTTCCTCTTCCTTATCCCTCACAGCTAATCACTGGCCTAATCTTTTCTATCCCTACAGTTCAGGCCTTATCACCTTGCTTTAACCTTGCCTCCCTGCTACACTCTCAGTGGGGTCACCATCCTAACACAGTTGATTCATGTTATTCTCTGCTCAGAAACATCTGACAGCCCACTACTGCAAGGACAATTAATCAAAACACAAAGGGCAAACTTCTCAGCCTAGAATCTAAGGATCTCCATTATTCAGTTCTAATCTCACAGCATTCCCTACTCTCCCTCCATCACAGACCTTAGTGCCCTCAAATACTGCCAAACTGGGCCACTTCTGTGTTTCCAACACACCATCTTGCCCCATACCTCCCTGACTTTGCAGAATGAGATACTACTCCCTTTGCCCAGATTGCCCAGCACCCTCTCCTCTACCTTCAAAATCACACTGATCTTTCAACTCTTAGCTCAGGCTCACTGCCTTTGAGTGTATACTTAAAAGATCAAGGTCTAAAGGTAGACAGACTGGGTCTGAGGTCATTTACAAACTCTGACCAGTTTCCCCATCTGTAAATATTTCTCCATATTGTTCTTTATCTGTTGAAATTCTACCCCCTCCTCTAAATCCAGCTTAGACAACACCGCCCTTGACACTCCATCTGAGCACTCCCTGTCCTCTGTGCTTTCTATGTCTGTACCATATATACTGTTCATATTCACAGCTACCATGTGGAGAGCACCTATTGTGTGCCAGGCACTTTCCACAAAAGGCAGGCAGACACTTTCCCTTCCATCTTCTTGCTGACTGAATCTACTACACCACAGAGGTAAAATGCCAGACACCTGCTTTCCTAGCCTTCCTTGTAGCTAGAACATGGTCATGTGCCAGTTCTGGCCAATGAGACCTGGGGGAAAGTCTGTAGGAGGTTTTCGGGAAAGATTTTCCACCTGATAAAAAGATAAAGATGGGAGAAAACCCCACTCTCTTCCTTCCCATGCTTTGGATACTTGTAGTTACTACCATCATCACAGATACTAACCCAAACCCCTGAGGTCACTGGGCCACTAAACCTGCCTTAGAACTGCCTGTCCCTAAGGATTTCCTGCTGTGAAAGAAAACATAAACTCCTATTGTTTACATCAGTTTTTACTTGTATTCCATTATCTGCAGCTGAAAGCATCCTGGTACACAAGCCACTACCTGTAATGTTCAAACTCCCTATAAGGAACGTATGACAGCAGGTCTCCCTGAAGCCAAAGTTCATACTCTACTCTACAGCACTACCTCTTCCACATGTCTCTCCATCATCTCCCTCCACTCTCCCCTATGAATTCTCATGTCTTTTCAAAGACACCAGGGTTTGAACCATAGCTCTAGCTTCTTAACTTGTGTGACTTCAGTCACATAACCTCCCTAAGCCTCCATCAGCTCAACTGAAATGATCGATGCTATTATTACTGCTATTGTCATTTGTATTAAACTCATTATTGATGATAGGCTGGGGCCAAAACAGGACCAAAGAGCATTATGGATGAGCAGGAAAAATTCTAAAGAAGTCTATTACAACCAAAGCTAAAGGAGTCACTTTTCAAAGGTGTAACCAGACCAAAGAACATTTCCTGAGACAGTATAATCCTAAGCAGCCAAACCTGAGCTAGCAGGGTCCACTTCTGAGGCTAAGAGGCCAATCTTTGCTGTGAACTCCATCACCATAAACTCATATAACTGGTGACAAGCTCTAACACACGAAATTACAGTTTTTTAAACGATATTCCACCTCAACATTACAAGGAGCTATGCCTTTCTCAAACCTGCTCCCAAGATGAACATTTCACAGCAAGAGGGAGGTGGAGCCACTTTTATTTCTTTGTCTTTTCAGAGATTCTGAAAACATGGTGAGAACAGCATGTCTTTCCACCAGTGTAAATACTTTATGGATGCCTTTTTGTAAACCTTCCCATCAGAGCGAATTACTCTCCAGAGCAATTGCCTGCTCCATTGTAGCTGGTGGCCATTTAAGCCCCCAAACAATTCTATAACTGGATTTGCCAGGGAAAATGTAAAACAGAATGAATCTAATTCAGGCATTACCAAGAGTGAACGTGAAGGGCCCAGGCGTGTATTTCTTTCCTGTGTTTGATATGACTAATAACTCAGATGAATCAATTTCCCTGGGGGTGACAGTGGGAGGGTGCAGGGTGAGAATAGGGTGAGAAAAGGGAGGGAGACAGAGGGAGTAACGGAACCATTCTGTTTACCTTGTAAACTGCAGCATGTACAGCACTTTGGAAAGATGTCCTTCTAGGCTGATGGCTGTGTTGGGCTAGAAAGAATGAGAACTGGACTAGGGGTCCAAGGACTAAGTGCTGTCACTGGGTAGCTATTTGGCCCCCCAGGCAAGTTATTTCATCTTTCTAGAACTCAGTTATCTCATCTCTAATTACATTAGTGACCCTGCCCATTGCAGAGTTCATAATGTTAAACTGATAATGTTATACAAAAATAAAACTGGTAATAATAATGAAAGCTTCCATTTATTGAGTGAGGCACAGAGCTATGCCCTATTTTTAACACTGCCTCATTTAATCTCACAATGATCCTATTTTATGGGATAATTAAGACCTGGAGAGGTGGGGTGACTTGCCTAAAGTCACAAAGCTACTAAATGTAAGGGCTGGGATCTACTCCCAAGCAACTGAGGCTTTTCCTACTGTGCCAAGGTGCACTCAAGGTACATTCTCCATGGAATGAGGACACTGAGGAAAGATGTCCAGGATATACTGTTCAGTAAAAAAAAGGTACGGAATAGTGCACACAGAGTATGCTACCTTTTGGGCAAGGAAGGAGAATAACAGTATGTATTTGTAGTTGTATAAAGAACCACTGTAAGGATACACAAGAAGACTAACAAAAATGAGAGGACGAGATGGAGAACAGGGTTAATAGGTTTAGAATGGAGGGTGATTTCTTAATGTAGACCATTTTATATCATTTTAATTTCTGAATCATGTGAATGTTTTACCTATGCAAAAAAAAAGTTGTTTTTTTTTTAATCTTCACGGAAAAACACCCCATTCAGAGCTAACTATGCTTAAATAGGAATATCAGTGACCTCTGACTGGCATGTGATATTAACTAAAGTTTTATAACCCACTATTGATGAAAAGACAAAATACTGCTTTGTTCTATTTTAAAATACCTATTTCTCTGCAGCCTCCAAAGTCAAATGAGGACTGGCAACCACAATCCAGGATGCCAGAGACTCGCAGACTTCTCCAATGATTGAGAAATGAACGTTTATCAACTACCTTCTTTGTACCAGGGACTGTGGGGCACTCTATGTAAGTTAGCTCACTTAAGTCTCACCACAATCTGATAAAATAAGAATTATTATCCCCGTTTTATAGATAAATTGCTGTAAGTGACTCACCAAAAGTCACACAGGAGGTAAGCAGCAAAGCCAGGATTTGAACTGATGTCTCCCTAGCCACAAGTCCGATGCTCTTCCCAATACAAAGCCTGCTTACCCAGGCAAAAGCTTCACAAATGAAGCCCTCACAGGCTTGTACCTCCCTGTGGGAAGGGCCTTCCTTACCTTGATCAAATTCAGACCCTTGCCGTTCCAGCTGTTTCCGCAGTTTCTCATTTGTTTTGATAGATTCTTCTAAACGTTTTCTCAAAGTGCGAATTTCTTGTATATGTTCCATTAGTAAGTCTACAGGAAAGAAGGGTATTTTCAATTTAAAGTCTGAAGCCCCTAAGAAATTGAATAATTTACAGATTATGCAGTGAGCTTGAAATTCCCAACAGTATTGCCATGTATTAAGATAGTCAGCAACTGGCAATTCTTTCCTAGGGATGGGGAAGCTGAGCTACTTCCCTCAGTCCACAGCCACAATTCTGTAATGATTCTCTGCAGCCCTCCATGAGGGAGATATTTTACATCACATGGAAAAATTACATTCAATGCAATTTTAATGTTAACTCTAATGTAGCCTTTTATTCTTCTAAATATCAAATATTAATTCAAAATCTTCCTTATGGTGAAAGTAACAGATCACTTTCAAGTCTGCTGGAATTGCCTGAGAGTTGATTAAACCACTTTCATAATGAACCCAGATATTTTCAAGACTAAGTCTTTGAAAAGAATATGGCATGTATCTATCACTTACTAATTTAAAACATACAAAAACCAAAACAATAATCCCAACGCTAGTGAGAATGCTCAGAAGAGTAGCCTCAAGAGTCCCTGCTAGTGTGAATATAAATGTGTATGACCTTGGGTACTATTTTTATCTTTAGTTTTAAAAAGGTTCTTTTCCAGTGTCTTTTACCAAATAATTCTACTTCTAGGAAATCTATAAAAAAAGATGACGAGATATGCTGACAACCATTTACCTGAAAGCATGAAAATGTTCATCTTAGCATTATATATAACAGTAAAAATTGAAAATAACTCGAATTGTTAAATAAATTATAGTACATCCAGTATGATGCAGCATTACAGTTATTCAAATTATGTTAGAAAGAATATGTAATATCATGGAAAAATCATGTTATTATATTAAATTTTAAAATAGATACAAAACTGGTTATTTAGCATAATCACAATTCTATTTAAAAATTTGCACAGACAAGAAAGACACACACACATACAAAAGAATGAAATAGACCAAAAGATTCACAGCAATTGCCTTTGGGTGGTACATTTTAGATTTTGAAAAAATACTATACTGCATTTTAATTTTCTAAAATGAGCATGTATTATTTTTTCAGCCTCCATCACATCTCTAACAAAGAAAGAAGGAAGCCCATTTCCAATCTAGAGGTAGGTTTCTCGAGTCAGTGTTTAAAGCATAATCACATTAAGTATCCAAAGGCAAAACTAATGCCTTTATCAATTAGGGTACACTCAGCATGTCTTAGTAATGTTTGTTTTAAAACATTACACTAATGTTATGACCCAGTTTTAATTCCTCCAAAATGACTTTCATTTAAAAGTAGCACAATGTTACAGATCTTTTCCTAATTAAATAGTAATTTTGCCATGAATTTGAATGTTTATGAGATGATTTAACTCCCAAACCTTCCGCTATCTCCTATTAATGCTGTAAGTGTAGCAAGTCATTTGGTGGAATGTCTGAGGATCTCATTGCAGTGCCGCGCTGAAGGGCTCTGTCTGCGATAAACTCTTGGCACGTCCCAGCACTATACCTCCCCGTTCCTGCCTTGCTGCCCTGCAAATCTTCTAGCGGCTATTCAAATTGACATGAGTCAGGAACTTATCTGTTTTAACTGCAACCTTGCTTGCTGGTTTATCCAAGCTACACACTGCTGGCTTTTGGGGTGATACTAATGCTCAGTAGCCATCGATACCAGTCATCGCCCACTGAGTCTTTGGCCAGGAGATGGAATCATCACTTGGGCTTCAGGAAACGATCCCAGTTGAAATGGATACCACTTATTAATTATGCAGCCATAACTGAGAAGAAGGAAATACTATACTAAGCTTTTCAAAATGGGAGGAAAATATCTGTCCCACTTACCATAATACCCTTCTGACAAATGCTAACTCCTTAAAACCACAAATCCTATAGGAAAAAAAACAAAAAAGTGCATTTCTTTGCCTAGCAGTTCCAATTTATAGAGTCTATGTTAAGAAACTCCCCCGAAATAAGGGGAAAGCTTCATGTTCAAAGATACTGCCTGCAGCACTGTTTACAACTGTGAAAATTTTAGAAATGACTTAAATGTTCAGCAATAGGAGAACATAAGGAAAACTGCAGTTCAGCCATTCAATGGACTATTCTAAAGTCAATAAGGACGATGGTATGTAACAACACGCCAGAAAGCTTATGACGTAATGTTATGTGAGAAAAGGAAAAATACTAAATTACCCCTCTACTCAGATTATAACTATGACAAAAGGAAAATGCAGAGACTAAAAGGCTAAAGAGAAACAAACTAAAAAACCTAACAGGGGTGTATTAGGATGGTTCCACAATTTCATGTAAGGAGAGCACTGTCCTAGTTTAAGAAGGTGCCTTGGTAATCCATTAAAAGGGCATGATGAACCCCGGGTCATGGGTCTCCACAGGAATAAGAAATAAGAGATGACCAAAAAGTTCTGCATTAGAAATAAACTGAGATTGGAGTGGCAGAGGGGAGGAGAGTAGAAGGAAGAGGAGCAAGATGAAGAAAAGGGAATTGCCCAATACCATAGCAGGAGAGTTTGAAAGACAGAGAGATCTCTAATATTCCAATTTAAATTATTTGGGTTACTGCATTGTACCCACACTCCTTCTAGTTCCTCAAACCCTCAGTTAAGTCTGTTACTCACACAAAGACCTTGTGGGAGTGGTCTGCAGGGGAATTCTTAGAAAGGGACTGAGTTTCCCTTCGGATGGATACAGTGGAGAATAGAGATGGCACTAGAGACAGGGAAGTAATTCATGGTTGGATCTAAATTAGAGAAAGCAAGACATAGAGCCAGAAGTGACTGGGGAAAAAGCAAGTACTCAGAAACTCACAGAAATCACACAGGGATATAGCTGGAAATTCAAAGAAATCAGGTCCAGGTGACTGGCTGCTGGAAGACCTCAGATGATACCTGAAGTGTGGCAAAAATGTGTACTCCATGCACTTGACGTATTTTCAAACTGTGATCCTCTGGGCCCTAAGTGCCCTAGAGGAGCCTCAGAGGCCACCACTGGGGACAAAAGCTCTACTCACATCTCCTGTACATACTGAGACCCCATGTAAAATACCTTCTTTAAAAAAAAGGGGAGGGGAGTTGTATTGCAAAAAAGTTTTTTTTTTTTTAATTTTTTAACAACACTGATCTATGTGATCAGATTTCAACAAAGAGCATTAAGCAAGGAGGTACCAGGGTACGATTTCTGCTTTACAAAATCTACTCTTGCGAACAACCCACTGGAAGAAGGGAGAGACCAGAGGCTATCAGTTGAGGTATGAAGTCTATAACAAGGATCAGAAAACTACAGCTATGGACCAAATCCAGCCCACCACCTCTTTTGGTAAATAAAGTTTCCTTTTTATCCAGAGTCCCTGTTCTGAAAAGCTCCTAGACCAGACTGATGACAAGGACCTTCCCCCAGAGCCGACAGACAGAATAAGCCTTCCCCTGGAGTTTCCACCCTGAATTCGGACTTGTAGCCTACTAGACTGTGAGAGAATAAATTTCTCTTTGTTAACGCCATCCACTTGCAGTATTTCTGTTACAGCAGCGCTAGATAACTAAGACAGAATTTGGTACCGTGAGAGTGGGGTGCTGCTCTAACAGATACCTAAAATTGTGGAAGCGGTTTTGAAACTGTGAATGGGCAGAGGCTAGAAGAGTTTTAAAGTGGCTACTAGTAAAAGCCTAGATTGCCTTGAAGAGACTGTTGGTGAAATTATGGACATCGAAGACAATTCTGGTGAGGACTCAGAAGGAAGTGAGGAGAGTTATAACCCCCTGGAGATGGCGCAGACGGCGAGAAGCAGCAGCAGAACCAGGAGACCAGCACAAGACAGTGCTGGAGCTGATCCACAGAGCAAGACGGCTAAGTGCCTTTTGGTTGAAGTTTACCGGCAGAGTCGGGTACCTCCAGGCACTTACCACTGGTGCTAAAGAGCTTTGGAACACTTGCCTTAGCAGGGCAGATGTGGGCAGCTAGGCCTGAGGGGGCCAAGAGACCAAGGAACCAGGAAACAGAAGCTGAAGAGACAAGGAACACAGGAAGCAGAGGTGCCTCCGTCTCAAAGCCACTCAGATGGACTAGGAGAATGGGGCTGCCCAAAGCCAAGGGAGCACAGTTGCTGTTCCAGTGGGCCTGGAAGGCGGACCTGAAACCCAGGGCCGAGGAACCTCCACCCAGAATCCAGAGAATGTGGCCAACACCTAGGGTCTGGAGGGCAAGGCCACTGCCTAAAGGGTCTCAGAGAACAGAGGATTATTTTCAAGCCTTGAGAGCTAATGTAGTGTGTTCTGCTAGTTTGCTTGGTGCCTGTTATCCCTTCTTTCCGTTCGATTTCTCCCATTTGTAATGGAAAGGTCTAGCTTGTGCCCGTTCTATCATTGTACTTAATCTAGATTTCACAGATGCAGAGGAATTTTTGGATTTTGGACTTGGAGTTGATTTAAGACTTTTGCTATGATATGACTGGGTGAACGTGTTTTATATGTTGCAAGGACATGAATTTTGGGGGGCCAAAGGGTGGAATATTATGAACTGTGTCACCCCAAAATATGTGAGTCAACTTGGCTAGTCCATGATTCCCAGTATTGTCTGACTGTCCAGCATTTTGTCATCTGATGTGATTTTCCTGTATGTTATAAATCCTACCTCTATGATGTTAGTGGAACCCTGGTGGAGTAGTGGTTAAGAGCTTGGCTGCTAACCAAAAGGCTGGCAGTTCAAATCCACTAGCTGCTCCTTGGAAACCCTATGGGGCAGTTCTACTCTGTCCTAGAGGATCACTGTAAGTCGGAACCAACTTGATGGCACCTAACAACAACAATGATGTTAATGAGGTGGGATTAATGGCAGTTATGTTAATGAGGCAGGACTCAATCTATAAGATTAGGTTGTGTCTTAAGTCAATCTCTTTTGAGATATAAAAGAGAGAAGTGAGCAGAGAGCTATAGGGACCTCATACTACCAAGAAAGCAGAGCCAGAAGCATATGTCCTTTGGATACGGGGTCCCTGCTCTGAAAAGCTTCTAGACCACGGGAAGACTGATGACAAGGGCCTTCCCCCACAGCTGACAGAGAGAGAAAGCTTTCCCCTGGAGCTGGCACCCTGAATTTGGACTTCTAGCCTCCTAGACTGTGAGAGAATAAATTTCTCTTTGTTAAAGCCATCCACTTGTAGTATTCCTGTTATAGCAGCAGTGGATACCAAAGACAGTTAGAACACAGTAACTTCCATTTATTTACATACCATCTATGGCTGCTTTCATGTGACAATGGCAGAGTTGAGCAGTTGTGAAAGAAACCATATGGCCCACAAAGTCTAAAATATTTACTACCTAAGCCATTATAGGAAAAGTGTGCTGATCCCTGATTCATACAATCCCATGAACCTCTGAAATATACTGAATTACAAACATACTTTACCCCAAGAGAAGGCAATCAAGACTGCAATACAGAAAAGGTAAAGGGAAATTCAGGGGTAGGTGGGGTCTTGGGAGGTTGATTCTGACCATTGAGTTCATCGCTCCATGATCAGAGGCAGGACAAGGGGCTGACCCAACGGGCCAAGGATCACACTAAAGGGAAACACGGCAGACTTACAGAACCACAACATATCAGAACAGGGAGTTAGGTACTCTTGGGCATCTATATGACTCAAAGCAGAAGAATATTCGAAGTGACCCTGCCTTAGGATGAATTTGGAAAAAAACAATAGGAAATTAACCAGACTTGGAATTGACATACAACTTCCATGCTTTTCAGCCTGCCTCTGTCAGAAGAGCAGATAAATAGCAAGTTATATATTAAGTCATCATTTCAAATATAAAATTGACTTTTCCCTAATCACCGATACTTTCTACAACCATAGCTTTCTCCAGTGATAAATGATATAATGAATGACCAGCTTTGGCCCTTGTGGGATCTCCTTTCATCAGAGAAACATTCAAACGTCACCACACTCTGGCTACTAAGGCAAGATAGCAAATTATTGTTTAAGAAATATTTGTAAGAGTTAAAGTAGCCTTTTTCAGATTAACCCTCAGTGGACTCTATAAGCATTCCAGTCAAACGAAGATTTGTCATTAGTTGAAAAAGGGGGAAAAACTAGAACATATTTAAAATGCTTAGTAAAGCTTAGCTTACCTTGAGAAATACTGTTAGCTATAACCGAAATCTTCTCAATCTCGCTATCTTGCTTCTGGTCTCGTGAGAAGAAAGAGGACTTTTCGGACATTTCACAATCAGACAGTGCGTGAGAGGCTGAAGGCTCAGGAGATTCAGGTATAGTATGTTGGTAGGTTAAGTTGTCTTCCTCAATCCTTAATTGTTGGGAGTGAAAGAGCAATGATTTTCCATGCCCAGATCCCAAGGCAGGACCATGATTTAAGAACACTTAAAATTACTTTGCCCTTTATAATTTCTCCATATCTGCAATCTCAGTTAGCCTTTTTGTTCCCCTAAAGCAATTAGTAAGAAGTTCTAAAAATAAAAAGGGCCCAGTGGGCTTGAGTTTGGAACCACTGAAGAAGGGGAACGAGGGGATTGTACCCATTCCACAGTCTGGCTTGTAGGGAAGCGACCCCAAGAGAGATCATAGGTCAGTGGCAGCTGTTTACCCAATGCCTGCTCTGTGCCAGGCATTGCAGATGCATTCTCTTACATGGTCCTCACAGCCACCCTTTGAGGTAGGGATTACTATCCTTAGAGTTGGAGGGACTGAAGCTCATCATAAAGTTACCTACTGTCTCACAGCTTATAAGTGGCAGAGCTGAGATGTGAAGCCAGGTCTGTCTGGCTCCAAGGCCCCAAAAGAACATGAAAGGTCCAGCCCAAACCCATGAAGTGGTCTTATGGGTTTAAAAATTTCAAAACCCTCATGGTCCCCAAGTAGGTCTCAATATCATTCTTCTGGCAATCATCTGGTTATTAACCTGTATTTCCCAACGGCCACCTAAGCCGTGAGGGAAAACAACCTGAACTCTATGAAAAGGCCATATGAATCTCCACTATAGATAAGCTCTTTAATTTAAACTGTTTTTTCTCCCACTTTTTCCTATTACTTCTTGTCAGAGGCTACAGTCTCATTATTCATGAGCTCAGACAAGAGCAAAGGACTCCAAAGCTGCAATGCATTCATTAACAGGTAAACACCAGATGCAACTTCGCTCAGACAGTGTGATGGATGCTCAAGCTTGCTGCTGGCTTGCAAAAATGCAGAATGGGCCAAGGACACCCATTTAATTAGCTTAGGCATGACCCATGTGAGTGCTAAGCCTACAGCTGAAAAAGGTAGAATGGAAGGAAAATAACAAATCTGTCAGAAATGGAAAGGGGTGGCACACTGGCTGAGGAGGGCTAAAAGAGGCTCCCTGCCTCCTCCAGCCCATTCTCTACAGCAACCAAGGCAGTCTATCAAAATGGCAAATCTGATCATATCTAGCCCCAGCTTAACTGCCTTCAAAGACTCCCCTCTTCCAACAGAATAGAGTTTGAACTCCTATCATAGCATTTGCAGACCATCCAGATGTGGCCCTACATGCCTCTCTAGCTAAGACCCTCACATTCTATGCACCAGCCACACCAAGTCTTCCAGTCCCTGAAGGGGCCATGACTCCCTTGCCTTGAGCATGGACACTCTCCAAACAACCCTTGCCCCCTCTGACTTGCATCCTTTAGATCTCAGCTAAGACTGTTCCTCATCTGGGAAGCCTTCCTTGTTCTCTACAGTCTGCCAATAAGATGTGGGCTGTTATTATGGGGATGAAAATGGAGGACTGAACTAAGAGGAAACTGAAACTACCGCAGTGGGAGAGAAGTGTTTCTTCTAAACTTGTAGAAGTCTTGCTTAAAATGTCCTCCAGTGAGCTCAGCTTGTGATACCTCCTTGCCTGCTCACTCTAAGAATGCTGGTGGACTTCATGATGTCAATAACATGTAAATTCTGTACCCCATACTGGCTCTATTTCTTCATATTGCCCCCCTGGAGCCCAAAACGCCACAGCTTCTTAGAAAAGGAAAGTACCCAATAGCACTAGTAGCATTCAGAACCCTTGACAAGTAAACACAAGAGGGCAAGACCTTGACATTTTCAGTCAGCCATAGAAGCAAGCTGAGAAAGATACAATTCGTTTATTCCATGAACATTTTCTGAACTCAACTACTTATCAGACACTTGGTGCTGGAGCAGGCATAGAGATTTTCAAGACCCAGTCTTTGCGCGCAAAAGGCAATGTGGAATAACAATTACAGCACAGGTGTTGAAGTCCAATAGATTCAAGTACAAATCCCAGCTCTATCCCTTAATGGCAAACATGCAACTCTCTGGCCCACAGGAGCCTCATCTTATAATGGGGACAATAATGCTCACCTTGTAGGATTGGAAGTAATGTATGTGAATACCTAGGGCAGTGGCTGACATACAGCAATACCCAGTTTATGCTAGCTCCTTTCCTCCCCCTTGAGGAATTCTGGTAGTGGGAGGATGATGCAGAAAAGATTACAATATCATGTGGTAAATGTTGTAATGCAATTATTTGCCAAGTGCTACAGCAAGGAAAATTGATCCTGGGGTATGGTGGAGAGGTGGGGTGTTGGGGAAAAGCAAGCTCATTTCCACGTGAACTGGTTCTGAAAAACGATTTCAGACTACGAAGAGGAAGAAGGTAGAAAGCCCAGCTCATGCACAGGCAGTCTGAAATAGCAGGAGAAAACCAAAAAGCCCTATGAGGCTGAAGCATAATAGAAAGGAAGGGATAGCTTGAGGCCCTGAGAAGGGCATAAAATGCTGGGCTTAGGGAAGTCTAGGATTTATTCCACAGGTACCCAGAACCAATAGAAGGAAACTGTTATCTAGGTCAAATCACCTGACAGAGAAATGTCACAAATAATCTGAAACCAATGAATGAGGTAGGCTGCAGAATACACAAGCATAAGCTCGTGGTTTTGTACAGCCATTGTCAGTTTGATAGGTGTCTGAGCCTTGTTTACAAGAAGCAGGAAACTAACAGAATGGGAGGGAGCCAGAAGACTCAAAAAGCTGGTAGGCAAACCAAATGCTACACACTTACCTCTCCATCAGTTCATTCTGGGCGCTCACTTCCACCTCAGCTGACTTTCCTGGAAGCAGAAACAACATGGAGAAAGGAGAAAAACATTAAAAAAAAAAAAAAAAAAAAAAAGTCCCCTAATAATTTCTTGCTCATACATTTTCAGGGGTACTGTTTCATTTGTTTAAAGACTCTTTATAACAATCCCAGATATTTAAAGTAGGATTTACCAAGAACACAGTTCTGACTATAGACTCCTCCTTTATCACTCCTCTGGCCCTAGTTTTAGTAGGGAGGGGACATCACTGAATCTAAAAAGCAATCACAAAGGCATTGCTGGGTAGTTTCTTTTTCTTCTCTAAAACTCTGATATGAACGGAATACATGCTCATTACCAGGAAAGGGTAACAATATCAAGAAGAGCACCATCCTCCAAGTACCCACTACACACATTTACCAGATTTTCTCCTATTGTTTTTTCCATGTATTTTGGCATAGTTAATAGTATACTGTGACTTAATTTTCTCACTTACTACTTTACTATAAGCATTTCTATTACTACATTTGCTTTAAAACACCATTTATAATGACTGCATTAATATTCCATTGTAGGCGTATATATAGCTTTTAGTCAATTCTCTATTTGACATTTAGGCCATCTCCAAATTTTCACTTTTATAAATAAATAAACATCTTTGTGCATATAGCATTATCTGCATTTAAATTATTTCCTTAGGAAAGACTCCCAGAAGTTGGATTAGTAGCGAAAGGAGTATATCAGTGTAGATGAAAAAGCCACTGTCTGCAGCTGGGTGGGGGGATGACTCAAAGAAATGACAAAAGAAAACAAAACAAAGCTCCAAATGTAGTTGGGCGAAAGATGTTCTGCTGTCTTCCTGCATGTCATCATTTGCCATTTGAAAGGAAGCACATGAGCCCAGATTTCAAAGAGACTAACAACTTTATTTTAAAAATACTTCAGAACTCTGGAAATTGCAGACTGGGATGAGCTCTTTGAAGAAGCTAACGCGTGGCTACAGAAAAAAACAAATCCTTCTATAGCTGTACTTGAAAATGAGACTATAATTAAACTGCACCCACACATACAATTTTCAAAACTACTCCTGAAAGGAAAAGTTCTCAAACACCACAGTGCAGAGGAAAAGATCACTACAGACTTGCACATTTGCATTATGTCTTGTGGTTCCCTCCTACAAACTCACAGCCCGGCTGAAAATGCTGTCTAGACTCCCTCTCCACCCCACCAGGTGGGCCACCTGGGCACCAAGAGTCAGTGCATCTTAATGAGTGCCTGAAAGGCACCTACCTCTGCAGGGATCGAGAATGAGTCAGAGGGGCCCAACCAAGCAGGTGCCAGGCTCTGAATGCAGCTTTTCAATATCCACATCTCCTTGAGGCCTCACAACAATCCTACAAGCACAATGTTATCTCCATTTTACAGCAAAAACGTGGAAACTCAGGAGCTTTAATGCTTCAACTTTCTCTCATTTTGCCCGATTCATACTCTCATCTACTTTAATGCATTTCACAGTTAAGCAAGGGAGATGGGTGTTCTTCTATTTAGCTCAATCACAAATCTATACCTTGATCTTTCTGGTTCTGTCTTGGCTAAAAATGACATGATATTTTGGCTCCTCAAAAGACAGCAGAGGTCAACAGGTCTCTATCACTGTGGATGCCCCTCCACATTCCTCTTCGAGGGGGGGGGGGGGGGGCATGCTCAACTGATTGGGTCAGATTCCAAGACCCTCAACGAATAGGCAAGGATAAGAGCACATTAAAAGAACAGCTCAGTTGGCATTTTCTTCTCACACCTGTATCAGGGCTGATGGTAAGACTTTTAGTCCTACAGACCCCAAGAATGGGCCATCTGCCCCAGCCCAGCCTTCCAAACATCTTTAGGAGTTACACATGCACTAGTCAGCAAACAGTAAGGTGACATCCTCTTTATATTTGCCGTTGTTCTCTAGGGATATATCAGGAACTCCACAGGGTAGGGAACCCTTCTTGGTTTGGGGCAGGCTTTAAGTAGTCTGGGTCTTCTAACCATAAAGCCATCTTAAAATCATCAAAAATCTCTCCTCAGCAAGGGAGAATGAAGAAAACAAGATACAAGGGAAAGATTAGTCCAAAGGACTAATGGACCACAACTACCACAGCCTCCACCAGACTGAGTCCAG